CCCCCCCACCCAAAAAAAATAATAAAAATAAAACTGTGGCCCTCTGAGACCCCTATGCTAATTTGTTTTTTCTTTCAGTCATTCACATTCAAACAAAATGTTGTGTTTTGGATTAGTCAGTAAGTTATTAGTGGCTCATGTGCTAACTGTGTATCAAATTAACTAATAACCAAATAATTACAGTGCTATATGCTTTGTCATTAATTACATAAATATGCTGTAGCTTTTGTTTCTAGTGTGCCTTTAAGCTGAATTGTAGTGGTTTGATAACTAACTTTTAGTATGATAGCTATTTGTAGGTGTGTAGCTGGGTAAAACTTCTTTTGTCTCGTTTCTAACAGATTGGTGTTTTTGTGAAACATAATGAAAGCATCATCTGCATATAAACGACACTGAACATCTCTACAAATTTCTGGAAAATCATACAAGTAAAACCACAACTGAAGCAGTTGAATTTTTTAAAGTAATGGTTTTAAATTTATGTAGGAGAATATCGAGATTCACTGTTTCATAAGCATTTTTTATATTGGATTTCTGCTCCAGCTGTTGTAATCTCATGTTTTTTAAACAATATTTTCCACACTGATATCCCAGATAAGTTGTATTTACCTAAAATGTTTTGAAAAAGTCGAATGCCTTAAATAAACAACGTGTAAGTTAAATTCTCAAAGGAGTTTAAATAGATGTTTTTGTAAACTATTTTGGGATATTAAATGCTTTACACAAGAATTACATTTCTTGCATTTACAGTATGTTTTCCTCACCCAATTCTAAGTTGTTAAACTAAAAATAACTCCTTACTGCAGATTGTGACACAGGGTTCCCAGACCTTGGTCAACATCGAATTCAAGGACCTTTCAAGGACTTTCCAGTACCAATTTCCTTAAATTCAAGAACCATGCGTGACAGAAATTACCTACTGCTGCCAAAGAAAGTTACCAATAAACAGGTTTAATTTCATGTAATTCAATGAAAAACTGAACATAGAGTCAGAATCAATGAAATAAAGTAGATTAAATGTTTACCCTACATTCATGTCCACAATACATGGACATGTAATTATATTAGAGGTTCAGCAGCTCAGTTTAGGAGGAGGGGATGTGGACATGTCCAGACCCTCAGTGAGGACTGTGGTGCATGGGCTCAGAAAGAAAGACCCGCCCTCCTCTGCTCTGATTGGTTAAAACTATGACTATGGCTCACGTTATTTGTTGAAAACCACGTCTGTTTACTGTAATCCTAAATTATCAATCATAACAAATGTGAGTTGTTTTTTAATTAATTTTTTTTATCTTTTACAGATGATAAAAATCAGTTGTGTGAATACAGAACTTCAATCCCTAAAAACATTCAAGGACTTTCAAGGATAAATGTGATTTTTGGCTGTTTTCACAAATTTTCCAGGGCCTTGAAATCTTTTTTTTTTTCAAATTCACAAACTTTCAAGGATTTCAAGAACCCGTGGGAACCCTAGTGACATTAAAGTGAGATAAAATGTTTCATTTTTTTATTTGTTCTTTATTTTTTTACTACAACTACATTTGCAAAAGTTAATGTAAACAAACAACGAACAACGGTTATCAGTTTGATTTTATTTGCATTATTGCATTCAAGCATTCTTGTCTTTATGTCAGGTGAGTACCAAGATTCAAAAAATATTTACAATATTAACAACTACATTTCTTAGAGAACGAGTTAATGAAATAACTTGTCTAACACAAACACTGCAGTAAATGTGTTATTCTTCCAAACAGCATCTCATTACTTTGTCTTGATTGGCTGATTCCTGCCACGCTGGCATTCACAGGTGACCAAGTGAATTATTAATTCTGGTTCTCAAGCAGCGATCTGTCCCGACAAGGCAAATTTTGAAAATGATGGAACACGAGGGAGATTGAAAAACAAAGGGGTTGTATGTTTATTTTATTTATGGAAATTTTCAGCCCTTATCTGGCTCCTATTATAGGTGACAGCTCTCCTGCTTTTATATTTCCTGCTGAATAATCACTGATTATGCAGCATCCTTTCATATCAGGGGAGTCCAGGTGGTCTATCTAGATGTGGATAACAGATTTTCAGTCAGTCACAGAATCTGGTTGGACAACTGTCACCACGCAGAGAGAGGACTGCTTTTGATCACAATGGCTGCAAAACAAATTATGCACACACGATACATTAGTTTTTAATTTTGACTTTCCAACCTATTGTAGAGGAGGGATATGTTCCCTCCTTCAAACCATACACACACACACACACACACACACACACACACACACACACACACACACACACACACACACACACACACACATTCCATGTTTGTCTGTCCTCATGAAGACTTTGCATCGACTTCTATTACTTTTTTCATTCTTTTCTATAGTCTAGCCCTAAAACAGTGAACTCATGGGGATCAGGCTTTTGTCCCCATAACAGAGGGTCCTTATAAGGTGTTGTACCAGGGTTCGACAAGTCCTATTGCCCGACTGCCCGGGGCAGGTAAAACCCATTGTCGGGCTGGTGGGTGTGTCCCAATGCCTGCCCGACCTGGCAGGTAAACAATTTCTTTATTTTTTATAGGGCCATTTATTCAAAATATTATGAAAATAAATGAAGAAATATGGCGTTTTAAAACACGTAAAGAGAGAATAAATCGTCAAAATGTCCCTCTCCCGCTGTAGAAAATTTACATCTTGCAGTCGTGTCGCAGGATCACAAGTTCCTCCCTCCTTCCTGCTGCATGTCGCACAGAGAGAAGTTTTAAAGTGTATCTTACCCCCCTGTGAAAAGATAACTCCGCCCCAAGGCGAATTTTGAAAAATGCATCAAAGTGGGTAGGGGAGGGGGGGGAGGGGGTTAGAGAGCAGAGGTGTGGCCAGGACGAGAGAATGTTAATTATGCTAGCATTAGCATAATTGATGCTACATGGAGAGTGACCACAGTATCGCAGATAGTTACATCTCTGAACGGTCTGAGGTGGAGGATTTTTCACCCC